AAGGTTTCACTTTGGCTGAGCATGTGGCAGGAAAAGGGCCTGGGCGGGTGAAAACAGAAGCAAAGGCTTCAGCCCAATTCCGTGTGATGGTGTTTGCACAACGTGTTGGGATACGGGTGCATCCAGCTTGCAGGGTGGGTGCCGTGTCCTTGCTGCTGGGACACCGTTGGCACACAGCTGGGAGGGAAGGGAGAAGGTTTCCAACTGGAAAATATTGTGGGTGACATGCTGGGGAAAATAAACCGCTCAGTCTGCAACGCTAGCCAGGACAAAAAAGCCCCGTGGGGCTGTGTGTGCCGAGGAGGTGGCCCGGGGCTGGGGCGAGGTGGCTGTCCCCTGAGTCATTGCTACCGCCCCCGCCAACCCGGCAGGGGATTGTGACCCCGTGCCGCGGGGTGCTCCACGGGCCACGCAGGATGTGTTGGGCAAGAGGAGGCGGGTGACTGCAGCCATCGCTTGTTCAGCCTTTGCAGGTTTAATTATTTTGTCCTGCCCAGCCAATCGTGGTGTAACATGTCCCACTTAAAATGTAGATCCAAACAGCTGGAAGTAGGTTGCTGCGGAGAGGTGGCACTGTCCCTTCTGCCAGAGTAAGGAGATGGCCTCAGGGATTCCCACCGGGGCTGTCCGCCTCGGTCACATCGAGCTGGGTGATGCCTGGTGGGGTGACTTCACCGCTGGTAAACACAACCCTCGGGTCAAGTGAGTCACCTGCAGCAGAACTGTCACTGGGTCGTTTGAGGGGGTCATTTCATATGGGGACACAGTCGTCTCCCACCTTTGGAAATGGTGTCCGTCTTCCAGGCTCCCTGCTGTGTGCCAGTGCAAAAGCCACTTCGGTGTTTAATCTATAGCAACAGTGAAAAAGGAGATTTTTAATCATTCGCATTATACCATCAGCCTCCTGTGTGAAGACATGGTGGATGTGAGGATTTGAAAATACTCTTACTGTGGAGGGGGACACACTGAGTGCTGTTTTTTGTGGAGAGGGGAGAAGTGCAGCCTGGTGTGGAAGAAGTGATGATGAGCCCTCTGCAGAAGAGAGAGAGAACGTGACGTGGGGCTTTTTCCAGGAAGCACAAGAAAGAACCAAAAGGAGTTTCATCTCACCACAAACAAAGAAATTAATTTTCAAAAGCTGTTGATTAGGTGTATGGGAATGATTTTTATTGACACATGCCAAACTGAAATTTGCTGCTGCCACCTTCCCCTGCTAAATGACAGCTGCTGGGCAGCCTGCTGATGGCAGGCTACAGGGATTTTATTCTGATGAGCATTGAAATAGCCCTTCATCACCCCAAAAATGTTAGGTGCAGGGGCAGCTGAATAAATGGAGACCCAGAAGAGGGGGGGTGACTTCCTTGGGGCAGCCAGTGGTGAGGACGAGCCCTGGCCCATGCTGTTAGCGGCCACCTCCCAGCCCGCGGAGCAGAGCTAATGCATCTCCTGGCACGGCTCGCGCTGAGGTTGCCTCAGAAACCTTTCTTAGAACCAACTCTTCGGCAGAAGCAGGGAGGAGCGGGCGCTTCTCAGAATGAATTGCATCTGCATCACATAGCGCCGCTTCCTCTTTTTTTCAAATTTCCAATCGTGGACGGTCAGCATCTCGCCCCCATGTCTGAGATTTAATGATATTTGCTTTACGAGAGGGACTTTTCCAACTTTACCTAGAAAAGAGCTAACCCGAAACCCAGCACTTGCGGTTAGCCCAGCTTCCGTCAGTGGCTTTAGTCAGTTCGTCTGTTGAAGCAGAGGAAGCTGCGACTGTGACGGGAAGAGGGAGCTGACTGCACACCAGGATCCCGCTTGCAGCAGGACCACAGCAGACAGTGCATAACCGCATCGGTATGCGGGGTGCCAGCAGCCGGGAGCGCGCGGCGGGACGGGGGACAGGCAGGGAAAGGGGTGGAGGGGGAGTCTTTCCCTTCACTGCTCCCTTAGTGCCTCTGAAAAAAAATCCTACTGAACCCCCAGTGAAAGATGTAAGGCACCCCAGCGTTCAGTTAAAGTTCAGCAGAAACTAGATCATTGAGATATAAATCTTTTATTCAGCCTCGAAGGGAAGCGCTCTGCAGAGGCAGCGCTACTGGCAGGCACGGGGCTGGGAGCTGGGCTGGCTGCCGCATGCCAGCAAGTGACCTTTCTGCGTTCCTGCTCATTTCCCTTTTCACCATCTCCGCTTGAGGCATCATTATTTATTTATTTAAAATAAAACACCCCTGTATTCCCCTCCCAGCACAGCCAGGGACAGGGCAAAAGCCTGTGTTTCATCAGACTGGGCACATCCAGCGCTTCAGCATCTTTCCGTGGTGCTGGTGGAGGGTGTAGGAACAGAATGAAGGTCCCCACACAAAAGACCGTGTGTGCAGAGAGGAGGAGGAGAAGGAGGAGGTGTGCCTCTCTGGAGGGGTCCCCAGCAGCCGCGCTGGGTCACCACATTCACTGGTGCCAGCGTTAGCCACTTTGACGTGGTTCTACCTGCACGTCTGTCCCCACGGTTCCTCACCTCAGGGTGTTTGCTCACGCTCTTTGGGTGGACATCCCCTTACTTCTTGCTGGGTGGTGGCTGGATGCTTCCAGGTGAACTCTGGGGTTGTGTTGTCCCAACAAGCGATGAGAAACCTGAAGGGGAGTGCAGGCAGGGTCCAGCCCATGGCATGGGTGGTGTGATGCACGGGTCCTTCCCCAAGCCCGCCTCTGCACAGAACATTTGCCGGTGTTCCCATTAACTCTTTCACAGATGGATCAGGACTTAGCAGGGGTATTCCCAGTTCCTGGCTCCTTTCCTTGCAGCTCAGGATTCTGTTCAGGGAGCTGGGACTCTTGTCTACTTTCCATTAGCCTTCTCCTTCCTCGGCTTGCAGCGTTCACGTGGAGCATTTTTGGTTTGAATCTTACACCATTGCCATCAGAACTGGAGAGACACTTTGTTGTTTTTTCAAGTGACAGACAAGATTTCCCATACTCAAGTGCTGGGACTTCCAGAAAACCAGTGAGTATGAAACTGCTGAGGAGCTGTCAGAAGTTGCCAATGCTACGATGGTTTAATTTCGACATCTGAGACTGCCTGTCACCTTCCATGACTGTAATGATCAGCAGCAGCTGCAGCATTTGCAAAGTAACGTTAGAAAAGGTTTGGGGTATTAATAAAATGCTGCAGGTAGGGTAAAGTTGGTGTTTCCAGGTCCTGCTTCCCTCGTCCACTTCATCTTTCCCAGGGACAAGCCTGGCCTCACTTCTCTTCCTTAACGGGTGTTTTACTACAGCTGGAAGAACCTTCATCTTTCCCAGGGACAAGACTGGCCTCACTTCTCTTCCCTAACAGGTGTTTTACTACAGCTGGAAGAATGCAGTGAAATGTTGCCTGTTACTACTATTAAATTTTAATTGCAGGACTATCATTTCCTAAAGTCCAAAATATTTTGGCACTTGTCTTGAGAAAGGCATATTTTTTTGTACATATATTTTTTTTTCTCTTATTAGCAGAAACCATCTGCCCTGTAAACAGAGATCAGGAGAAAAAAAACCTTCCCGGCAGTTTTGCATCACATGGGAATCCTGTGGTGTGCTGCATGGGAAAGGGCTCGCTTTCTGCCTTTTAATCTCGGCAATAGTGAGCTCCAAGCAGATCAGAAGCAATTAATTTAAGGTGACGAATCTTGGCATCACATCTGAGTTGCAGAAAGGCCGTGACTGTAAATCTCTGTAGAGGTGCACAACCAGGATGGATGCTCCTGGGAATGAGTGCCCATGGAGGGGGAGCAGAGAGGTGGGGCAGCGAGGTCAGGTTAGAGGTTTAGGCAGGGAGTGGTAAAAAGCCAGAGAGTTTGCAGTGCCATAAGGATCCGGGGGGACCTTATAGCGGCCTTTCAGTACCTGAAGGGGGCTACAGGATAGATGGGGAGGGACATTTTAAAAGCGCATGCAGTGACAGGACAACGGGTAATGGATTTAAATTGGAAGAGGGCAGATTTAGACTAGATATTAGAAAGAAATTTTTCCTGTGAGGAAGGCACTGGCCCAGGTTGCCCAGAGAAGCTGTGGATGCCCCATCCCTGGAGGGGTTCAAGGCCAGGCTGGATGAGGCTTTGAGCAACCTGGGCTGGTGGGAGGTGTCCCTGCCCATGGCAGGGGGTTGGAACTAGATGATTTCTCATGTCCTTTCCAACCCAAACCATTCTATGATTCTATAAAAATAAGCCATAGGTTTGAGAGAGAGCACCCAGCAAAGAGCCCAGCCTGCATAGTAGGGTGAACATCGGTCACCGCTAATCAGTGATGTTGATCAGTCTTTGGTTGGGGATACTGTAAGCTCAGTAGGCTCTTACCATTTCATCGGGTTTGTTTAAAATATTAGCAGTTGTTGCAGTGTCACCTATGAGAGTGCACACATCCTTATCTCCTCCAGCATTAGTTTAACTTCTCCAGCGTGGGAGGAGAACCCGACTAGATAGGAAACCAGTTCAGTGTTGAAATACAAGGTGTCAAGATGCGCTATGCAGCCCTCCTCCTCTTTTGTGGCTTTCTATTCCGTTCCTGCTTTTATTTTTAATGTCGCTGGCAGGTGTGTGAGTATACGTGTGAGCTTGTATGTACCTATTAATAAAACTGAGCACGTGTCCACTGAGGTTCCTGACTGTAACTTAAACATGGAATATTAGAGAATTTGTATGCCTGAATGAAAACTTTATTATAAGCAATTGATTGTAACTTAATCTGTCCCACATTGTAGCCTGAACCAGCCAGTCAGAATATGAATTTTTTTCTTTTTGCATTAAAAAGGAAGTATTTCAGCCATGAAAGTATTTCCAGGTAGGACATGGTTTATTTCATTAGAAAGCACAGCCAAACTCTGCTTGACCAAAAAAAGCAAAGGAGGTTTACCAGCAGAAAATCTTAACCAAGCACAAATTAAAAGACTGTAAGATGGCAGCAGATTTCTAGCACTGGAAAATGCTTGTCCAGACATGAAATCTGGGCTGGTTTAATGTCCCGTGGTCATGTATCCAACTGAAGTGTACCTGAAGAAGAAGTTGCTGGGGAGAGTGAGTTGCTGGAAAGGAAAAGCCAACAATACACAGCCTTAATTTCCCACAGTTACGTCTGCAGTGCTGCCTTGCCTCGAGCGGGCAATTTTGCAGACTTTCCAGTAAGATGCAAATGAAAATAACTACAGAGCTTGTGTATCTGAGGAATGTCCCTGCGTGGCTTTAAAGCTCTGTCTCTGCTCAGCCACTTGGGTGCAGGTTTTTTGTTTAGTGAACGCTAATTGTGAGCTTGTGTCTGATTCTCAGGAGAGAAACCTGGACTGGTTCCCCCGGATGCGGGCCATGTCGCTTGTGAGCAGCGACTCAGAAGGAGAACAGAATGAGCTGAGGAACTTGCAGGAGAAGTTGGAGTCCACCATGAAGCTTGTGAGCAACCTCTCCGGCCAGCTCTCGGAGCTGAAAGATCAGGTAAGGGCAAGCTGGCTGCAAACGCACGGCTGTGCACGGTTACAGGCAGGACAAAGGTCCTGCAAGCCTGTTGTACAACGTGCTGTTTTACAGCTCCAGGGCTGATGCAAACCCTGTGCAGATTCTAAAGTGGCTTGTGTTTAGGAAAGAAGTGACCAAACCAAATGTCCTTCCAAAGCCCCATACCCAGCTGACCTGCTGGGCAGTGCTCACTGAACTGGTGCCGTCCAAAGTGGCCACCTCCAGAAAGGAAAACTTGCATTAAAAAAAAAAAAAAAAATCAAAGCTGAATAGCTCAAATGAGTCCTTGCTCCTGTAGGGAGCCTGTATGTGTGTTGTGGTAGTGTTGTTACAGACCTTCACATGGTCCTGTAAGTCAGAGGATGTGATATTGATAGATGTGAAACCCACTGAGAACCTGGAGAAGTACTGGGGGGGTCAGCTTGTGCTGGTCTGCTCTGTGCTGTCACTGCACTGCTAACGCAGATATCATTGGGCTGCTGTCATGCTTTAGACTGCAGCACAGACAGACATACCCACAGAAGTATTTTGCATTGCAGCATGTATCGCTGCTGCTTAACATGTGAACGCTGCACAGACCTCTGAGTATTTTTTCGGTGCAGCAGTTTTTCTGCAGCAAGAGTTTGAGGACTTGCGTTAACTTTTGCCTTGGCTGGAGCTCAAGGGGATTGTGGGGGTTGTTCCCAGCCCAAACCCAGTGATGGCTTTGGGTAAGCCACAGAGGCAGCCGGGCTTTATTTCACGTTGTCCGTACAGATTACAGCCTACCTGGAAATAAAAAGGGAAAATGTTGTTTCCTGCTCTGGTGGGAGCCGTTTGTGGCGGCAAAGTGACTCACTCCTTATCTTTATGGATTAATAACCTGAGCCAGATGGTTCAATTAGTTAAGTTTATATAGATATCGGCACTGGATAAAATTAATTGCTGACTTGAACATGCTGTTATTCCAGGACAGTCAGTGGAATTGCACAGGGCAGAAATGGACAACAGATTCAGTTTGTTATCTCCTCAGATGTGAGCTGCCGGCTGCCGCGCAGTTGGCAGATTCTCTCCAACATGAATCGGGTTCCTGCTCCCCGTCTCCGCTCAGGGTTGGCCGGGTTTCTCTGTAAGCTAGTTGTCTTCATGGAGATGTGAGTCTCTGGAGGCCAATATTGCCTGAGATCCCGGGTCCCTGCCTTCCGATCATGCTCTGCATTTCTGATAGAGCCAGGCCCTCATACCCGACACCCCACGGAGCACAAGGAAGGGATTAACCTGCTGCTCTGGGCTGTCAGGAGTTCTCAGACACGGTGCTGTGGACCCCATTGCTCTAGTTGGCTTTGAGGATGGAGGATAAGAGGCAGTTGCTCTTTTGTCTGTGCTTTAATACTTGCCGGGTAGTGGTTTTGCTGTTTTGCCTGGAAACAATTATCTTGAAACATGTGTCTTACGTCTTCGTGTTGAAGGGTCTGACTCAAAGTGGTCGGCAGTCACCAGGAGTCTTTCCATCAGCCGCAGCCAGCTCTGGCTCGGAACGCCTTTCTTTCTGAAGCTTGCAGCTCTTGGCTGACCAAGCACTAAAACCCCTTCTTGCTCTTTGTGAAAATAAGCATGAAGGATTTAGCTTTTAGAGAGCTATTTGACTGTAAAAGCAAAAGAGGAAACCAGCTTCATTAATGTTGTGATAGCTTTTAGGAATTCCCCTAAGTACCGTTATTGAGAGCCCTGCTTCAGTTGCAGGATGCTCTAATTATGTGACAACATGGGAACATCCCTCCTCCTGATCAGGAACTGTCTCCAGGAAAAGGAACTAACTCAGGGAACTTTTATTTGTGTTTATTTTCTTGTAATTAAATAAAGGGCCAACCTCTCATTCATTTGCTTTTCAAGCTCATTAGGTTTCTGGAGGCTGCAATTGTTAGAAACGGAAATCCAGCGTGCCCGCTCTCACAAAGAAGGGCACCAAGAGCCATTAAAATCTTGATCGCTTTAATTCTGTGCGAAAAGATTACAACATAATTGTCTGCAACAGCAGGGGATTAGATGTAATCATCCAGAAATCCTTTCCAGTGCCATCCTCCAATGTCAGTAACTGTGAAGCATCTCTAACAGACATTGCCTTCTTGCTCAGGATGGTCCCCTTGCCCCAGCCGGGACCCCCGACCTCCACCACCACGAGCGTGGCTCCTCGCTGGAGCTGCTGCTCGGGCTGCCTTTGTTCAAGCTCCTGGCAAGCAGGCAGATGCCGGTGTGTCTGTGTGCACGTGTCTGGTCAGTGTCCTGTTCGTGCACTTTGCACATCCCTGTTCCTGGCATTAACTCCAACTCACCCGTAACCTTTGGAGCCAGGCAGCTGCGGCTGTGTGGTTCTATGCGGTTATCGAGAGTCCAGCTTGACTCAGATGAACTTCAGGCCCCTTGGTTTCATTTTTTAATCCCGTCAGCATTACTCCAGTAGCTGACAGCTCCCCTGCAATATGTGCGGAGCTTTTATTGCCGTACAGTCGTTGCAGCTGTAAAACTTCTGCAAGAGATTCACTCTCCAGGTAACTGGGGTAGAGATTAAAGTGGCTCCACCTTGCAGCCCTGTGCCCTCTAGACAAGCATTACGCATCTCGCTGGATTAGTAACGTTCTGCGTCGACATGGCAATTGCATTTCTCTCTCTGCTTTACTTTCAGTTGGTTTATTCTTCCCTTTCTCTAAAAGGCACATCTTCCATGTACACCTGCATCAGGCTGCACCATCCCTTTTCCTACGTAGCAGGAAAAATATCTATTCCAGTCCCTTTTCACTATTCTTTTTTCTTTCCATTTTTATTTTGTGTGCCCTCTGAATCAGTTTATTGGCTGCGTGAAATCATAGCTCTTAGTTTGCTCAGTGAAGCTAGTTAGTGTAAATGGGCAGTTTTACCATGAAGTCCTCATTGCCTCTTTGCATTTCCAACTTGTGGGTTATCCTGGAAACAGTTAAATAAAGTCCCAGCTGTTCAGGAGGAGAGTAGCTTGTGTGTGCGTCTGAGACCGGAGAGCAATGGGAAGGACCCCTCTCCTGCTCCTGTTTGCCTGCGAAGCAATACAAGCCTTTTGTGAAAACAGACTTCCAAAAGCGTGGTGCAGAGGACTGGGAGGTGTGAGCTGTCCTCGGGAGGCTGTGGTCATCCTCCTGGAAAGGTAAAAGAACTGTGCTGCCTCCCTTGGGTCAGGCAATGAGCAAGGTGCTGGACTGCAGTTGGGTTTAGTTCTGGTTTCAAGAGGAATTCCCATGTTTCAGTCCTTTCCTGAGTCATTCAGTGAGTGTAATTTCACACAGCTGGCCCGAATGAGAGCAGTGGTGCACAGCACGGTGCAAGGGGCGTGGAGGAGCCCTTTGGAGGTTGCCCAGGACTGCCTGTGTTCACCAGTTCCTTCCCCACAATGAGCTCCAGAGCAGAGGCGGGCCGCGGGCCGGCTGCCCCTGCACCCTGTGGTACCCGTAGATGGGAGACTGTTCACCATTGCCAGAACTGGAGTGTTTAAACAAATATGTTCAAGTGCGTGTTACAAATGACCCGAATGCGTGAGCACACCATCTCCCTTCTCCTGGAGTTACTTCCACAAGCGATCATATGGGTGGACATTTGTCATTAAATATCCAAAAACTGAAAAAAATAGATTGTGGATATAGATGTTACAGGAAAAGCATTGCAGGGAACTTTGTTAATTCTCACAAAGAAAGATACTCTGAATTGTATCTTAGCCTTGAATGAAAAATTACTTCATCAGGCAAGTCAGCCAGGTTTTCCAATGTGTGGATATGCTGCCAGGGGGGCTGGTGGAGTCCTGCGAAGCCCTGGTGAGGGGCACCCACAGCCGGGTGTGCTCAGCCTGAGGGAAGGAGCAGCAGAACTGTGATGTGAGCACGGCTGCTCACGTACGCCGTTGGTGCCGCCGCGGATCGCGTGCAGTGGGATGGTTGTGCATTTGCACATTGCTTTGAGGGTGCCCCAGGAGCAGCACTGGGCTCCCCTCACCTCGGTGGTCCAGGGGTGAGGCGCTGTCCTGGTGTCCTCCTCGGCAGGGCTGCTACAAGCCACCGTCCCATGTGTTGGCTGCTCCAAAACTGAGATGCGGTCGCAGAGGGAGTGGCGGAGAGTGCGTGCAGTGATCCAGCTGTGTGCTGCTGGAGACCTTGCCCACGCCAGAGTTGTTCCTTCTGTGGTGTGTTGGTTTATGCAAGTTTTCAGAAACCTCACAAGGTTTGAAAAAAAATAGAGCGGAGAATTGGATTGTGGCCATTTTTTCAGTATCAGTGATAGAAAGCGATGTTCCATTTTCAGGTCGTGATTGCACTAATTGGGAGAAATGTTATTTTATCTGATGGGAAGTACTGCCAAAGACGGGGCTGCCTGGCAGTGAGGTGGTTAACCTCCTGTCCCTGCCTTGTGTCCTGGTTTTTGGCAGATGGAGAGGGATGTTGGCTCCCAGGGAGCACTGGAGCCTGCTCCAGCAAAGACAAGGGTATTCCCAGCCTGACTTGAGGGCTCGCCCCTTTTTTTCCACCCTCTGTGTCTCGTCTGCCTCGTACATTGGACCAGTTACAAAGAATTTCTAATGGGGGAGGCTTTTGCGTGCTGCTCTCTGCACGGATTTGTGCTGGCTGCCCAGCTCTGCTGAGCTCTTTCCTTGCTAAACGGTAGCCAGCTGCACGAGCAAGTCCATGACCGGCCCTGGCAAGTGCACGAGTCGCCTCTTTCATCTATTAGCGCTTGGCACGGCGGACGGGGGAGCGTTACTTGCAGAAAGTGGGTTTCAGAGTAAACACTAACCACAAAAGGCAGCGCCAGGTCCTTGGGTGAGCTGACGCACAGGAAGCGTCTAGGCCTAATGAGCAAACTTTTTGATTTTCCAGATGACGGAGCAGAGGAAGCAGAAACAGCGCATCGGTCTCCTAGGACACCCGCCCATGAATGTGAACCCGCAGCAACCGGCGTAGGTCAGGAGGGTCGCTGGCCCCTCTCGCCGCAGCACGAGGGATGCTAATCCCGAGTTCAGATCCGACCACTGAGGCTGCTTCTGTGTACGTTCGGTTCAGTTTGTAAATAACCTGTTTTTATACTATATGTATATGACTGCTATTATATAAAGTTTGGGGCATACGTATTGTAATTAGAACTGTTGGCACAGGACGGAGGTTAAACTTTGTGCCAAAACTATCAAAATTGCCTTGTTCTTGGAAGGACTAAAGAGAGCACCTGAATTGCACTTGAAAAGAATATTTGACTATGTGACATGTATTTTGTATTTAAAAAAAAAATAGAATAGCTAGTATTTATGTTTTTATACAATTGTGCAATATGAATTATGCAATCACAATATATTTGTAACTCCTGAATGTCCTAAAGGGAGTGCACATCTTTGAATCTGGTGTGTTAGTACAATGTAATAAATGGTATAAAATTACAGGTGTAAATGAGGCTGCTGCAAAATCGTGTTACTGGTGATTTTTCATACCCTTGGACATTTTTGTACCATGTGTGTAAATATCTTGCAATGGCATATCTGTTGCCTCTTCCTCCCAGAGATAACACTGGGAATCGTGAGCTGTTAAATTGGTATCAATTAAAGCAAAACATTAGCTTCCAGAAGAGGAAAGCAGGAGGTATTTTTCAAGTGACTTCTTCGAAGTACTGAGGCTAGAAGAGCTCAAATACCAGGTTTTTTTAATGCTAAGATTTCTTAAAGGGAACTTTTTATGCAAAATGAAGTTTGGGATGAGGATGCACTACTGGTGAGTCGGTGCAGTCTCCTATGGGCATTTCGTGCCATGACACCTAAAACCTATGACGAGGCTGTCCAGGCTTTGCATTTGCAGTGTGTAGGATCCTTTCCCTTTTATTTTTTCATTAGAGACCTATGTGCCTGCTACAGCTGTAGCAAACAGGCATTGCACCGACTGCAACACGACCTATCCCGTTGGAACGGTAGATGAGCACTGAGGTGTGTAATGCTTGTGAGAGAGCCAGTGGGTTGAGGTTGCTCTGTCCCAGCCCTTCCTCTCCCTCTCCCCCTCCATTCCATCACTTTCTTTGGTTTATGATTCTAGAGAGTATGAAAGGAAACTTGTGGTTTTTTCCTCCAATCCGTTGCATAGTTTTATACATGGACCTCATTTTACAAAAGCTAACTTCTCTGCAATACTGTCTACCAAAAAAAAAAAAAAAAGAAAAGAAAAAAAGAAGCTACAGAGCTATGAAAATTTGTAAATGCATAAATATAGGTATTTAAATAAATGATGCAAAATATGGTCAGAGGCTGCTGGTGGTTTGTCTCCCTGCTCCAAGGCGGTGTGTGGTTGTGTCCGCTGTCGTGCTTGCCCACGCGCCCTGGGAACCGAGCCGTGGGGGCCTTACTAGGTAAGGACGGGGCTTCTCTGTCTCTGAGAGCAGGAGGGACAGAGGCTGGACTTCTAGCACCACCTTCCTCCTCTGGCAGCGAGAGGGACCGGTGTCCCAGGAACATCACCCACCATCCCTCCAGTTTTGGATACTTCAGACTCTTAACCACTGATATTTTAGGTTTGTCATCCTCAGACTGGAGTGTACAAGAGTTAAAATGTCTTGCTCTGAGTATCGTGTGCACAGGAGTGTTGTGGATTATGTGTATTTGATTAAGATGTAGCAGGAACTACCTGGTACAATTAATCATCTTTAATCTGGTAAGTGCACATAACTGTCCGAGAAGGGTGCGTCTCCCTGCTGCGGGGCATCATGGAACATCACGGCAAGGGCATCTGAGTGGAGAGGGAGGGAGGGCAGCCTGACCAGCACTCTCCGAGCCAGAGATTTATGGCTGAGACTGTGTCGTCTTAATTACTTAGAGTTTCCATACGGATCCTGGTACATCTGTCTTCCTCCCCTCTGCAGCCGCTGGCTCCCAGCAAGGTGCACGCAGAGGGAGCATGATGGATGTGATGCCGTCGGGGTTGTGCAATGAAAGAGCAGGATTTCATTTTCTCTGAGCAGCAGAGACGTGTATCTGACTCACTTCTTCCCTCTGTGCCATGCAGGGATAAGCAGACTCACACAAATCTGTCTGGTTTCCTGGAGCCTCTGTCAGTCAGGTGAGAGGGAGGCGGCTGCAGCGCAGAGGGCAGCCACACAGATGGGCAGCGTTGCTGCATCTTTACCTTCCAAAGGCAGCAATACCAGGCTCTGCAGCAAACACACAAGCGGTGATCCGTGTGAACATCACCCGTGTGAAATCTGGTGTTTTCACATGTGGTTCTTCTTTCCCAAGAGTTGTGGGGGGATGCAAAAAGCTGTGGGGTTTTTTTTCTCCCTCTGGTGCAGCTGCAGCATGGTGACTGAAGCGAAGCCCAACCACCGCCCTGGCAGCAGAAATGACCCACAGCGTGGGGTGGGAGGGTTGTCACAGTGCGATGCAGAGGGTTTGCATGGACCCAGTCCTTCTCTGGCCCGAGCAGAGGCTGTATCGGCTCCTGGTCAGCAGAGGAAGCCTACTGTTGTCTTCTTCCCCTCCATCATCAAACGGGTCATTCATTCCTGCAGTCTTTACTGCAATGAAATTTCATGCATAACCATCACCTGTTTTTATTTTTTTGATTTTGCACTATCGGGTTTTCAAGAATTTTTTTGATTTTTCTTTTTGGCTTGGAGCATTCTGGATGTGCTGAACTCCTCTGACAGACGTGGCCATGGAGGAGAGGAATGGGGAAAACCTTCTCCTGGCTGGCAGCAGGTTTGACCCTGCAGCTTCTGAGGTTAGTGCCTGCGTAAGGGCTTTCCTGTTTCGGAGTGAGATCCAGCACCTCACAGCAACTTGTCACGGATCTCAAGGAAAAGCTGCTTGAGGGATCTGTTTAAATACCACATTTCAGGTATTTTTTCCCCAAAAGCTGAATATCTCTTGAAACCACAAAAAGTTTTATTAACATTTTGTAGACTCTAAGTGGGAAAAAAAAAAAAAAAAAAAAACCCAAACCTCTAAAAGCTGAGCTCAGAATCTGTAACAATGCCTTTAGTTTCTTTAAGCCAGGCCCTGGGAGGCCAAGCATCCCCTCTGGAGATGCTGCAAGATGAGGTACATGGCTCTGGCTGTCCACCTCTGCCGGGGTTTTGCAGCAGTATTCCTCAGGGACATCAGAGATGAAGTGTCATCCCGCACAGGGAATCCTGCAGAAGCAGTGAGATTAACGCACGCTGTTCATGGGGTGGAAGAGCTACAAACAGCAAAAGGGAACTTCAAGGAACAAAACCAGCACTTGCAGACCCTGGCTGGGGTGAAGAGCTGACGTTCGGTGCAGCTCGTGCGCTGCCACAGCCACGAGGAACCGGCATCACCCGACCCGGTGCCGATGGCCCGGCCATGGGTGCAGAGCAGGGGAGGGGGCTCGGCAGGACCCTCTGGAGGAGGTCCAGGGATGACTGTGTACAGAAGGTGATTGCTCTGCTCCAGCTGCTGCTCCTAAAGTTCTTCTGGGTTTGGTCCCACTTTCTGAAAAAATGGTGTGGGCATGGCAGAGGGGGAAAGCAAGGAGGATTTCTGGATTTGGGAACAGGTGAGTTGTCAGGAACTGGGATTATGTAGCCTGGAAAAAAGGGAAAGAAGAAGGGAGGAAGATGTCCCATGTGCTATCAGAGAGAAGGTCATGTTTGCTGAGGATCTAAGGAGAAGGAACCTCTCGGCTGAGCCCAGGAGGTTTTGTTCCTACACAGTACTTTCTGGCTCTAAAAATGCTTCCTTGATGTTCCGTAAAATTAATTATTTGGTGATACTGACAGAAGGCAGTTAGTGTAGGGGTTAGAGGGAAACTGGGGAGTTTCCACCTGCTTTGTATGCACCTGAGATTTCTTTGTTTGGAATGGGATTTCTTTAAGCAGGACTGGCCTATGTTCAAGTTTGGGAAGACGAATACTTTGTCTTTTAAATGAGAACTTTCATTTACAGGTGAAAATGAAAGTGACCTTCCGAAGAGGAAGGAACAAAAAGAATCTACCGATTTTGCTAATAATGGAAAGTCCTCGAGGGGAAGGATGTCCGTGTATTCTTCAATTTGCATGAATGGCTGAGTCTGTGGATAAGAATTTTCTTCACTAATGAAGCAGGTGACATGCTAATCAAGGCAATGCAAATAACTGCTCCGAAAGCACAGCCCTGGCGCCGCAGCCCCGAGACCGCCACAATGGCAAATTCCAGCCTCGTCCTCAATTTTGCAGCAAATTGTCAGAGGGCAGGACAAAGGAGCCGGGATTACAGTCTCGGTGCTCACGGCGGGGACTCGCGATGGGGCGCGGGTGATGGATACCTCCTTACATAATGGGGTCTTGATTGATACCGTGTCGGGAAAGTCATAATATAGCTCCATATAACAATTCAACTTGTCTCCCAGAATGGGAAATGCTCCTACACACATACTTAGTGAGGTTTTTTAAATTGCCCATTGTATTTCTGAACAAGAGAAACTTATTTGGAGTACTTTCCCTTTTACGTTCCCAACATAAGCAGCTGAAGACATTGCCATGTGTGTTCTTTGTGCTCCTGCAGACTCGCTTGCCGTTTTTCCAGGCAGATACTATCGCCCAAAGCGAGGTGTTAGAGGGAAGCCCGGGCAGTGTACCCCTGCCAAAACATCCCAGGTAAGTACCACATCGAGCAGCTGCTGCACCACAGGACACACAGGGGCCATAAGCCTACCGATGGATGCGTAGGGTGGCTCTTTGTTTTAATCAGAGACTACCTGGCTTTGGGCCGACGTGGCCAGGTTCCCGCATGCCACGATGGAAGTTTGGTCCTGAACTGTGAATTTCCTGGTCCTGAGCAGTGCAGTGTAACCTTTACATTTAACATGGTGCATTTATTTTTACAGACAGACAGACCCATGTCTATGATCTTTGGACTTGGTCAGTATGAGATGCTGATACTTGGAGTAAAATCAGTACAAATATTCCACTTCTGTGAAAGTGGCATTTTAACTGAGATGGGAGGAATAACTTCTGGAGAGACACAGTACTTCTGTGTCCAATTTTTTATTTACTACCTTTCCAACCTTCTTTCAGACTAAACATGTTAATGAGATGAATGTCAAAACCACCCACAAGTAAACTGAGTTGTCCCATCCAGTTGGCAAATGTTGATTTGTTTTTAGTAACTAGCAAGGATGCTGGAAAACCCCTATAAAGATTTAATTTTTGACAAAAAGTACCAAAAACTCCACCAGTTTTGCATCACAAAGTAGTGGTTAAAGTAAAGATTTGAGTAAAGCAGCATGTCTGTGGTTTTTGTGGGCGGCTGCATCTCGGAATGACTATCAATCTGTCAGGGGGGGATCTGCATGTCATCTCTGCAGATGACAAGCAAAATCTGCAGTGACAAATATCTTTCCAGCGCTCGGCTGCGCTGTGAGCCTCGTACACCTCCTGCCACCCTTCCCAGCGAAGTCTCGGCAGCATGTAGCATATGAACCCCCCTTTTTTTTTTTTTTTTTAAACTGAGGAAGGAAAGACAAATATGGAGCAGTGCTCTGAAGATGCTATCAAACACCACTGCCAATGTGCCTAGTCATACAGAAATTCAGCTCCGAGCTGCACATGGGAGATGCCATGCCAAGCGGCTGTTAGACCAGCTAGCCTACTTCTGGCAGGCTCTCGTGAGTTTTTGCGATGCTTCTCTGCTGCGGTTACGTGTGTGATGGGATGCTTGGAAATGAAATTATGTGTGGCTCTAAGTTAAAAAAGATGAGAACAAGTCTTGACAAAATCAAAGT